TTCTCGTAATGTGCCAATTATAGTTCATAATGGATTTCTTGATTTGATCTATTTATATTATTCATTTTATGAAAATTTGCCAGATAATTTGAATACTTTTGTAGCTGATTTAAATGAAATGTTTTCTGGTGGAATATTTGATACAAAATATATAGCTGATTATATTACAAGAGAGAAAAGTAGTTTTTTGTCATATTTATTTAGAAAGTAGGTTTTTTCTTTAAATAATATATATATTTATATTTACAATAGATCATGATTAATTAATGCATCAAATTATTATGTTTATTAAAGATATGAAAGAGAACAAGTGGAACGAAAAGCTTCTGGTAATAAAGACTACTTATTGTTACGAATACATGATTGTATTGTATTGCCATCTACTACTGTTGAAATTTTGAAGTCTGAACAATTTGAGCTTGCAAAAATATCTAACTTTCAAAATAAACCATCCAAACGATCTCAAGGAAATTCATATTGTGAACAATATGCGGTAACATTAGATTATTATTTTGTGAAATTATATAAAATGTTAAAATATTCAAAAAAAAAATTTTTTCCTGGATATGATAGTTGCATGGATTTTGTTCACAAAGAATGAGATGTGGAAAATCACATGATTTAGACTTTATTTTGGATGAACAAGCAAGGGAATTTGAAAATAAGCGAAAGCGTCATAAAATTGACAAAAATCAACAAGAAGGAAATTTGCCAAAAGAACCTGATGGCACATCATCATCATCATCATCATCATCATCATCATCAATAATTACAACAGAACATGTATCTGTATCTATGCCTCCAACCTTATTACCTTCAACAAAACCCGATCAGTTTGACACTTATCATTCTGCACATTTTGATGCATACATGACTGGTTTTATTTTTGCAAGACAATTGTTAAAATATTCTGGCACAAAAGTTTTAAATGAATATCGAAACAAATTATATCTTATGGGTAGGAATCTGCCACTTTTGGTGGCAAAAAGCCAATTTAGTAAAACCAGTATTGGACATCAAAAAAAAAAATTTATTTAGTTGGATATTATTCTTGATCTTGGACAAGAGTTATATTTATCTAATAAAATTATAATAATAATAATTTTTTAAGAAATTGGATAATCCTTTAACCTGCATAAAAAACTTTGACTTTATCATTGCAACTGTTAAATAACCACTAGTAGGTGAAAAATCAAAACATTGAATATAACTTAATGGAGTTGGAAAAGTTGGAAAAGTTGGCCAATTTGGAAATGCATTAAGAGATGGTAAATGAGAATGTATATTTATATATATAAAATAAATATATATTAAAATTATAATCAATAATTAAGATAAATACAGTGTTACCATTTTTAATTGAATGACTAGAATTTTTAATATTTGTGTATCATGATTAAATTTCATATCATGGATAAGAGCTGTTAAATTCATAAAAGGTTTCAAAAGGTTTTAATGACTAAACATAGACTCCAGTATTTGATCTATCTATAATCCTACCCTATTTGAATATTTGTTAAATCAAAATTATTTTGGATATTTGTAATTATTTCAGATGTTAGTAATTATTTCATCCTGATTTCATATTCTTTATTTTATTTCATTTCATTTCTTATCTTTATCTTTCACAATTTTTTTACTACTCTACTTTATTTGAAAATTATAAATGCAATTAAAAGAACAGAATTCAGAATTCATTAAATCAGAAATTTTTACTTGTGTTTATAAAAAAATTCTTGAAGGAAGAATTAAAGATCCACAATTAATTGACCTATATAGTTTCCAAATATTTATACGGAAATCCCCAACAATTATTCCAGCTACATTATCAATCAGTAGAACCAACCAGGAATCCTCACAAAAATAAAGTTTGTTATTCGTGTGGAAATAAGGGTCATATAAAAAGAAGTTGCAATCTCCAAGGATTGACCAAAGAAGAAGAGATTGAATTCATCTTTCAAAAACCTAGATCAATAGGAGAGGAATTAATTAAAAAAGAAGAAATCATTTTTCTTGAAAAGTTTTATTTGAAGATATACCAGATGATTTACCTTATGAAGAAGATCCTTACAAGGATTGAAGAATTTGTATAATGAATAGAAACACCAACTTATAAAAAGGATATTTTCTCTCTTTAATACAATTAATAAATCACCAAGCAATAAATATATTGTTGTTGCTAATTCCAAATTAAATAATTTTATTATTCTTTTTTTCCATTTATTAATTTAGTATTGTAACTGATGTATTTTTGCAATTATAATAAAGTTCATTCACTCATTCAAATGATTTGTAATACAACTCAATTTTGTTTGTTTATCATTTTATTCGATTTCATGCTAATTCATTGTGAATTTTAAAATATTTTATAACACTAAATAAAGAAGATTCAATTAACCAATTCAAAAATTTAACAAACCCACCTCATAAATTATATCTACAGGAAGATGAAAATGTAATATTAATATTCCCTATTAATAAATTATTTGATGAAAATATATGTAATGCACTATTGGAATTGCTACAAAATTCATGATGATAATAATGTTGAAGTGATATTTCCTACTTTAACAATTATAAATAAGATTATAGTTCAAAAAGAAACCAGTCGTTTTGAAATTGGTGGCCAGAGAGCATCTAGGCAACAATTCCCTGTTCAAAATGCGTTTGTCGTAACTGTTCATAAAACACAAGGCCTAACTCTATCGCATGTAACATTAAATGTTGATGAAAATATGTTTGTTGAAGGTCAAAATATATGTTGCAATGAATCAAGCACCTTCTTTAGAAAAACTACACGTTTTAGGGTTGACTATTCACAATTAAAGATTTCTAAAACAGTTTTAGAAGAATATAAGAGATTGGAAAAGATCAATTATAATTGATTGGCTTCTTTTATTCTACCAAATTCAAAAAAACAATATTACCACATTATTACCAAGCTTAATTAATAAAAATATATATTCTTAATTTAGTTTTTTATTATCTGTTATAAAAAGCTCACACACAATACTCAGTTAAAATCTTGTTATATTGGTTTGTTAATTTGCCATAAGTAAGTGAACGCATTCAACTTTCAAAAAAACAGTATCAAACAAACCATGGTTTTTATAAACATGTATTCAAAAACACTCGAAAGTTAAATGTGTATGTATATTATAAAGATTTTTTTTAATGAGAAAAATAAATTTCATCAGTTTAAAAAAATTTCTAAAAAACTAGTAGGAGTGACAGTTTATACAAGGGTAAAAAGAAAATCCTGGTGATTTTCTATAGAACGGAAGTATAATTAACAGTAGATGCCCATTGTGGTGAGAGAAAAACACCTGGCTCAAAAAGAGTTTATGCAGCAAACTTTAGAAACAACTCTTCTTGCCGCAGAATCTATAAAAGAATTTAATTCAAGTGCAGATGTTCCATTTGAAAAATAAATAGTTTGCTTCCTTTTTTAAAAAATATCTTAAAGAAATTCCTCAAGCACACAATGTAAATCAACTGTATCTGCTGCCTACAGTCTTTCAAGAACATTTTGTATCATAATGGATAGTGATGTTAGCCGATAGAAAAACTTTAGTCGGCTTAGCCGGCCAAGAACTTAATAAATCGCAGTTGATGAAAAACCTTTTCAGATGGTACTAAGCTTGTCTGTATTATTATTATTACTGCTATCGTTATTATCATCATAATATCTCGCCTTTAATGAGTTCAAATTATTTGTTTTATTCGTTATGAATTTGAGTACTCGAATTACATTGAAAGTTTTATTCGAATAGAACGAATAATAAAAATTCGAATTAAAATAAGAATTTGTATAGAAACTCTATGACTTTTATCCTGCTATATATAATGGATTGTATTTTGCTTTTTGAGCAAATGTATGTTTCTTTATCATTCTAAGTAACACAGGTGAACCCATCTCAAGTAAATGTCTATGCCACTGAATTTTGCACCGAATTCCAGACGTAAAAATGAATGTTAAGAGAAAATTTTTTTAACCGGCTAAGTCGATAAATTTCTTAGCAGGCTAACATCACTATAATTGATAGGCTTGGTAATGACTGTGCACCAGTGTTGTTAACAAGAATACAAAATTAATCTTTGAATATTTGGATCGTGTTAACAGCACAACTATTGGACAAACATTTTTCCCTTTACTGCATTCATACAATCTATCTCTCTTAGTATCCCCGTTTATTTCTTTCCGACTTAACATTGTATATATGAAAAATTGTTTTAGAGAAGTATTGAAATCTGTTATGCCACAACTGTTTCTAGCACATACAGTATATTAAATTTAATTTGATAAGAAATTTATATTTAGCTTTATTTTTTTAATTGAAGTTTTAAAAACATTCTTTTTTACGTGTTGATTTAATTAGAAAATAAAATTTTATAAGCAAATCTTAATTATTAAATAATAAAATAAATCAAATCATATCTTAATTTAAAACTTAAAACAATTCAAATAGTAATTATAAAAAAAAAATTGGCAAAAAAGAAATTAAAGATTGTAATAATAATATTCATAATTTGTTGGGTTGATTGAGTCATCATCGGTTATTCTCATATTTGTTAAATCTTGCGATGGACAATTATTTTCAATGTACATATTCATATTACATAAGCTAGTAGTAGTAGTAGTGTTGTTGTTGACAAGAGGATTAAACTTGTTAATTATTTGAGTGTAGTCGATGGCGTTGGTTGTGTTAGTCGTAGTTGTTGAAGATAAAAAAAAATTATTATTGTCGTTATCATCATTAATATTAATATTTATAATATCGTTGATATCGATATTAATGTCATTGTTAGTATTAACATTAATATTATCATTAATATTAACATTATTATTATCATTAATATTATCATTAATATTGATATTATCATTAATATTATCATTAGTATTGATATTATCATTAATATTGATATTATCATTAATATTGATATTATTCTTTTTTTTATCGGAAATGATATTCTCGAATTTGAACTCAACGATTTTGTGCTTAAGCGGCTTTTTTTTATTTTTGTTTGGACGATATGTGTAATGAGGGTAGTTTTTCTCGTGTTTTTTTTTAGCATATTCAGCCAATTTTGAAAAAAAACTTTTTACTTCTTCTGATGCGCTATTCCACTTTAATTGAATTCCGTTAACATCAGATTTACTGATTTTGGTATTTTTTGATTTATATAAAGCCAATTCATTTTTTCTATAAATCAAAAATGAATTGATTGGACGTTTAGGTCTTTCGATAAAATCATCGAGACCTTTTTTCGATTCAGATAATTCTTCAATTGAAAGGTAAAGTGGAGGAACTCTTCGATCCTCTAAGATTTTTTCAAGTAAAAGTTCTTCATCGACTTGCGAGAAACAACTGGTCATTGACTTAAAATTTGAATTTAGCGACATTTTTTGTTTATTTTTTTTTGACATTAATAGACGAATGAAGATAAGATAGAGAGAGTAATATATATATATATATATATATATATATAGGAATTGATCGGAATGAGACAAAGTTGAAAGTAAAGCAGCTCTCCACCTTAAATAAATAAATATTTCCATTTTGACCTTTATTGTTAAATTTGATTATAAACAAAAATAGTAATTTTTCCAATTCATATCCTTTTAAAAGAGAAGACTTGACTTTCAGCGATTATGGTTGGTTTTAGATTTGAATTGAAGAATGGTACCTGTTTTGTTTATTTACATTTTCCATTTATTTACCAGGTTTATTATTTTTTACTGTTTTAATTGTATTTTTATTTTGGTAATGACTTTCGGTGTTCACGGAACTGGTTATATTAATATGGGGTACAGTGCGAATCAGTGTTGGAAATTGAGTGCGGGTTTGTGTTACATTTAATCCAGCCAATAATTTATTGTGCAGAAAAATCCGTGCAACAAATTATTTATCAACGATAAATCATAATTCTATTTTTTTGAATAAAATACTTTTATTAATTATTGATTTTTTAATAAATAAAATTTTTTTTTTGAATACTGCGAGATCAAAATCCATGTCTCTCACAAATCTCTAGATTTATTTGTGATGATATGCCAACAATGTTAATCCAATTTCTTCTGATTTATTTATACTAAATCGTAATAACATTTTCCATGAATGTATATTTATGCTTTACTCGCAACTATCTTTTACCATTAAACAATTTCTTATACTAAGAAATACTAAGCAATATCTTCTTTCAATTACCCAAATTCAACAATTATTATCAAAATAACACTCCTTATACTTCTAATGCACATGTAGAAAGAATATTTTCAAAAATGAAAGTTGATAAAAAACAAATTGAGAAACAGAATGAATATTAATACATTGAATAATCATTTAATGATTTTATTAAATGGACCAGATATTCATAATTTTGATTTTAAAATAGCATATGAACACATTGGGCAAATAAAAATGAAAGAAACACTTGTTAAAAAAAATATTTATTGTTTTTATTTTTTATATATGTATATTAATAAAAAAATTTATATATATATATAGTAATCAAAAAATGTGCGCATTTTTTATGTAACACAAACCCGCACTCAATTTCCAACACTGGTGCAGCAGGACCCCGAACAATCTTAGAAGATGGTACATTTCAATTTTGGGTAGAAATAGCCCTCAAAATCGAATATCATTTCTTAATTAGGATAAATTTTGTGATGATCTTGTAAATTATTTCCAAAAATGGTAATAAAGTGGGTATTTTTTCAAATGTACCATCTCCTAAGATTGTTCGGGGTCTTGGTGCAGCATAGTGGAAATTTGAAATGTTACAATAATTTTTTATATTATGCAACGTAGCTTTACAATACACAGAAAACATTCTGGCAATAAAAAGTAAGTGATAAACTCGATTTGAATTGGATCTGAACTTGATCTCCAATTTAGAGAGGTAACAACTATATACTGGCGAAGTTTCAGAAGTAATGAGTTCTGTATAATGTTTCGTGTAACAACAAAATTCCACTACGCTCACTGGTGCGAATCATCTATATATACTCGAGTTAAAAAATTTCTGTGTTACAATGTTTTGAATTACATCTCCAAATTTGATAATGATTTTCTTTTAAAGACACCTAGTCCCGCAACTTTTTTATTGGTCCTTAGTACTCCAAAAACGGAAATGTAACACCAAAAAAACAAAATCTTAGTTTTGAAGCTACGTACTACAGTGCGCTTATAGTAACAATTGTTCAGCTTCAAAATACTAAAACAAAAAATTTCTTATATCATTTTAAAAAAAATTAACCGAAAAGTTTTTTTGTTCATGACTCGAGCTTCAAAACTTATCGGCTAGTTTTTTCTTAAACTAAAAATTGACAGAGCCTTTGGCATTTTGAAAATTCCAAATTTTGTTATATGTTTAAGAATCGAGACTAAGTAAATTTCGTGTAACAATGTTTACAACATATATTGATTTATTTGTATTATTTATTTCCTTTTTTTTATTAATAATAAAAGTTCTTTACAATAAAAAAGTTTAACGAACATATTACATGCTACTATATACACTCTTTGTATTTATCTTCATTTATATTAATAAAAATGCATAATAATAAAAATAAAATTTCAATTTATTATTACTATTTTGGATACAAGCAAATGATTTTTATTATTATATGTTGTGTAACTCAAGTGTGCATGATTGTTTTTTTTTTGTAAAAAGATGAAATTAGAAACAATTGGAATCGCGTCTACATTTTCATGAAATTAATCCTTCCAATTACATTATCATCATTTCCGCGAAAAAAATTGTTTTCAACCACTACGATGATAAAACCGAAAGGAATCGTTGCTGTCATAGGTACGACAGGAGTTGGTAAATCCAATTTAGGTGTTCAATTAGGAAAGGCGATAAATGGTGAAGTTGTTAATGTTGATTCAATGCAGGTCAATCAATACCTGTCCATAATTGGATGAATTTATTTGCGATCATCGACAATAAATAAATTAAACAATAATTGATGATTTATAGGTATACAAAGGATTAGACATTATAACAAATAAGATTTCAGTTGAGGAATGTGAAGGAGTTCCACATCATCTGATGGATTTCTTAGAAACACATCAAGAATACAGGGTCACACAATTTATTAAAGATGCATTACGTGTTGTATCCATTGAATCAATGGAAATCAAATCATAAAATCATAATATTCTATCTATCCTTAATTTATTCTACTGCTTTATTTTTGTTTTGAAAGATCAAAGAAATTCATGATCGTGATAAAGTACCAATACTGGTTGGAGGAACACATTATTACTTGCAAAATTTGATTTGGAGAAACTCACTTGTTACTACTACAAATGATGTTTATGATGATGATGGTGATGGTGATGATGGTGATGGCAACAATTGTTATTATGATAATGGAAATGATGAGGTAGATGATGAATTGAATGAATCAGATGAAAAGATTCCAAGTAGTCAAGATCCACAATCAATATATAAACAGTTACAAGTTGTTGATCCTATAATGGCAAATAAATGGCATTGGAAGGATACAAGAAGAGTTTATAGGAGTTTGAAGGTGAGAGAAACTGGGCAGTAGTAATATTGAATGTTGGAGATGGAGATGGAGATGGTGATGGTGATGGTAGTTATTTAATAATTACTTGTTAATGACTTTTGATTAGGTTTATTTGGAAACAGGTAAACCACACAGTCAATGGATTAAAGAACAAAATTTGCAGGATCAGAAAATAAAATCTTTAAGGTGGAGTTTGAATTGATTTATTTTTAGATAATAAATAATTCCAAGAAAATAAAAACCACATTAAATGTAAAATTTTTGCTTGACTATGTTGTTAAATAATATTTTGTTTGACCTCTGTGTTCCTTTGAGTTGATACTTTTGAGGTGTTTAGAAACACTTACAATCAAATTTTTCAGAAATCGAGAAATTTTGGGATAAATATATTTAGTACTTATTTGCTCAACAAAATCTTCAGTATATCAACATCAAAGATTGAGTCTGTTATTTATAATTCATTGCTAACTGAATTATGTCTTTGACCCGAGGCATGGTATTTCTAAAAGCTTTGGCAGAATTTATGTTCCTTTACTTTGTTATGTATTTTTGGTTTTCCTTTATTTCAAGGTATTGAATTTAAACATTTTGTAAAATCAACCAAAAATTAGTATTACATAGTATGTAGTATTGGTTTATTATTATCTATAAAAAGGTACAATTGTTCAGCTTCAAAATACTAAAACAAAAAATTTCTTATATCATTTTAAAAAAAATTAACCGAAAAGTTTTTTTGTTCATGACTCGAGCTTCAAAACTTATCGGCTAGTTTTTTCTTAAACTAAAAATTGACAGAGCCTTTGGCATTTTGAAAATTCCAAATTTTGTTATATGTTTAAGAATCGAGACTAAGTAAATTTCGTGTAACAATGTTTACAACATATATTGATTTATTTGTATTATTTATTTCCTTTTTTTTATTAATAATAAAAGTTCTTTACAATAAAAAAGTTTAACGAACATATTACATGCTACTATATACACTCTTTGTATTTATCTTCATTTATATTAATAAAAATGCATAATAATAAAAATAAAATTTCAATTTATTATTACTATTTTGGATACAAGCAAATGATTTTTATTATTATATGTTGTGTAACTCAAGTGTGCATGATTGTTTTTTTTTTGTAAAAAGATGAAATTAGAAACAATTGGAATCGCGTCTACATTTTCATGAAATTAATCCTTCCAATTACATTATCATCATTTCCGCGAAAAAAATTGTTTTCAACCACTACGATGATAAAACCGAAAGGAATCGTTGCTGTCATAGGTACGACAGGAGTTGGTAAATCCAATTTAGGTGTTCAATTAGGAAAGGCGATAAATGGTGAAGTTGTTAATGTTGATTCAATGCAGGTCAATCAATACCTGTCCATAATTGGATGAATTTATTTGCGATCATCGACAATAAATAAATTAAACAATAATTGATGATTTATAGGTATACAAAGGATTAGACATTATAACAAATAAGATTTCAGTTGAGGAATGTGAAGGAGTTCCACATCATCTGATGGATTTCTTAGAAACACATCAAGAATACAGGGTCACACAATTTATTAAAGATGCATTACGTGTTGTATCCATTGAATCAATGGAAATCAAATCATAAAATCATAATATTCTATCTATCCTTAATTTATTCTACTGCTTTATTTTTGTTTTGAAAGATCAAAGAAATTCATGATCGTGATAAAGTACCAATACTGGTTGGAGGAACACATTATTACTTGCAAAATTTGATTTGGAGAAACTCACTTGTTACTACTACAAATGATGTTTATGATGATGATGGTGATGGTGATGATGGTGATGGCAACAATTGTTATTATGATAATGGAAATGATGAGGTAGATGATGAATTGAATGAATCAGATGAAAAGATTCCAAGTAGTCAAGATCCACAATCAATATATAAACAGTTACAAGTTGTTGATCCTATAATGGCAAATAAATGGCATTGGAAGGATACAAGAAGAGTTTATAGGAGTTTGAAGGTGAGAGAAACTGGGCAGTAGTAATATTGAATGTTGGAGATGGAGATGGAGATGGTGATGGTGATGGTAGTTATTTAATAATTACTTGTTAATGACTTTTGATTAGGTTTATTTGGAAACAGGTAAACCACACAGTCAATGGATTAAAGAACAAAATTTGCAGGATCAGAAAATAAAATCTTTAAGGTGGAGTTTGAATTGATTTATTTTTAGATAATAAATAATTCCAAGAAAATAAAAACCACATTAAATGTAAAATTTTTGCTAGGTAGATTTCCTAGGACATGTATTTTCTGGTTATATGCTGACAACAAAGTACTCGATCCTAGACTAGATTCCAGAGTTGATAAAATGATCCAAGTAATCTATTACATGTGATATTTTATATCATATAATACCATGCCATATTAATATATTTACTGAACAAACAGAATGGACTTTTTGAAGAAATCAAGTTTCTTAGAAATTTGATAAAGAATGGAGAAATACATGCACTTTTAAGAAATAATAAAGTTGATTATACTAGAGGAATTTGGCAAGCTATTGGTAAACAAAAATCTATGGTAACATCTTTTATGCTATCCCTATTAATTAACAAGTAATATTCTTTAAATCATAGGATACAAAGAATTTGATAATTATTTAAGTATGTTGGAGTCAAATACACAAAATGAAAAAAATTTGGAAGAATCAAAGAGATCAGGAACAGAATTGATGAAAATAGCTACTCGTCAATATGCTAGAAGACAAGTTCGTTGGATCAAAAATCAATTATTAAGAAAGTGTCAACAACAACAACAACAACAACAACAAAAATCTTTTATCAACAATAACAGTGGAGATTGGGTATCATCATCATCAATATGTAGATTATATTTACTAGATGCAACTAGTAATGATTAATAAAAATTTTTAATTGTTATTTCCCTTGATATTATTTTGAAAATTAAATAATTATTAATTGATATCTTTTCATTTAAAAAAAAAATTTAAAAAAAAAAAGATTTAGAAAATTGGAATCAAAATGTTCGTGATATAGCCATTAAAACAACCAAGGGTAATTATCAAATAACATTTCACTATTTAATGTAAGTAGATATATTCTAAAATTGATTGATTACAAAACAGAGTTTTTGGAGACGGGAATAGGACCTGATCCAACTACAATAAACGATTTTGCAAACAAAATGCTAAGTTCAAATTATAATCAAGAAGAGTAATTAAACATCCATTTTCTTTTTTTTTTAATAATATTTTTTTTCTTGTAAATTATAATAATAATAATAATCACTCCTCCCCAAATTCTATAGTGGATTTTCTAGATTGAATACATGGAAAAAATATCAATGTGATATTTGTAAACTATTTAATACTGATGAAGAGGACGAAGATAGATCATCAGTAGCATTCAACGGGAAAAATGAATGGGAACAGCATTTGAATAGTAAATGGCATAAATCTAGCATTAGACTGAAAAAAGAAATTGATGAAAAATGGAATGGTGAATTACCAAATTGGATAAAAAAAAGAAAAAACAGAAGGAAAAAAATTTGAAAATTGATTTAATAAAATTATTTTTAGATAATTTACAAATATATCTATATATACTATTCTACATTTATTCACATATAATTTATATATGATTTATTTTTTATGTTGTCTTTAATCTTTATTTAATTAATATCTAATGTTGTGTAATCTATTTTTTCTTGTTCTCATCATCCATGTCTCCATCCTTTCCACCACTGTTATTGCCTTTGGCATCTTTTAATTCTGATATTAATTCCTTTAGTAGGCCTTTTAGTGTAACAACTTCTGAATCAATTTCTATGATTTTAGTATTTAAATTTTTAGCTAATTGATTGTTTTCTTCTAATTTTATTATATTTCTTATAGTTATATCATTATCATTATTATTATCATCATTATCACTATAATTATTATTATTATTAACATTATTATTAGCATTAACTCCACCATTAATACTACCGATGCCAATATTATTGCTGTTGTTGCTGCCACCAGGAATACCACTACCAATTAATTTTCTCTTTTTAAAGTTCCATAAACTATTTTCATTAGACCTTAAATCTTTTCATCAAATCAATCTACACTGTAGAAAATCATTCTTACTCTCATATCATTTAAATATACAACCTCAATGACCTTTAGATTTCTCCTTCCACTAATCAAAATTATCACTATGACCAACATAATGTATAAATTTTGGTTCATTTGGCATTGGCCAAAAATAAAATTTCTTGATTTTTAGTCTACAATCATTTCTGTTTTGAATCAAAGACATGCATATCAACCTTTTGATGCTGCTTCATTGAATATCCCATCATTAATTAATTGGGGCATACTGCAACAAAACCAGACAAAGTGAACATTGGTATTACCAAGAATTTCAGGATCAAAATTTAGTCATTTGCAATGTGATTATAATTAACAGTTTTATAATATCCCGTTTGTTATATATAGAATTACCTCTATATAAAAATAGTTAATATGAAACTCATTTACATCAGATCTACAATGGAACCCAAGAATTATAGTACCATCAGAAGTGTTTTAAAAAAAGAACAAGGTGAAAAAATTGCTCCTTACATTTTCAAAATAAATGATGCTCAGACACTTGAAACTTACTTATTTAAGAAAAGAAAAGATTACCTATGAAATTTACCAAGAGAGAAAAATAATAAATGTTAGAAAAAGAAAGCAGAATGAAAGTATGTTATTACCCAACAAACAGCAAAAATCTTTAAAAGGAAAATAACTACCATTTGATAGTTGGAATGAATTTCAATTTATACAGAGGGAAATTTCCTCAATTACTTTTTTATTTTCAATCAAGATCATCTTTTAGTCTCTTTGACTTCAATTTGA